AGCTGATAGACGAAGTGTTCTTCCTCCAACTCCAGGAGGCTTCGCGCTCGCAGGCTCTCAGCCAGCTGGACGTCCCGATGGCGCTGGCCAACTACCTCCGACACGAGCCGTGACGCGTGGCCCGCCACGAGAGACCCCCGCCCTGCGCACGGGTCGAGCCTCCCGATTAAAAGCCGCTCTGTCATCTGCGCGGTGGGAAACTGCCACTTGTCTGTGGTCGCCAAGTCATTCATTGCTTCCACGGCGTCTCCAAAAATGTGATGCCGGCGTGAAAAGAGGGGAAGGGAAGGGGGGGGGAAAGCAGGAGACGTCGGCTTCGGCTCCGCAGCAGGGTGATGGCAGAGCAGGATCTGACTGAGCTGGGTTTGGGTTTAAGCCTTCTTCACGGAAGGGTTTTGCACCTTCGATAACGGTGGGAGAAGGCGTGGAGGGAGCGGAGCAACGGCCGCGTTGGGACAAGCGGGGAGGAGGGAGGCAGGAGTGGGCGTCGTGCCTGCGGGTCTGCCCTGCCACCTCCAGCCCCCGGCCCTGAGGTTTTGCGGTGCCTCCTCCGCTCCCCAGCCTCTCCTTCGCGTCGCTCCAGCTGAAGATGAGGAAGAACTTCTTCCCTCTGAGGGTGCCGGAGCCGTGGCCCAGGCTGCCCGGGGAGGCTGTGGAGTCTCCTTCTCTGGAGATATTCCAGCCCCGCCTGGCCGCAGTCCTGTGCAGCCTGCTCTGGGTGACCCTGCTTGGGCAGGGGGTTGGGCTGGGTGACCCACAGAGGTCCCTTCCAACCCCGACCATGCTGGGATTCTGTGATTCTGTAGGCTGTGGGGCATCTCCCCTTGGGAGGAGGCTGGAGAAGGTGCTGAGAATCGCTCTGTGGGGACCGGTGGGAGGTGAGGGACCTTGCTCTTCTTCTCGGAACCCCCCGCTTTTAGAATCCTAGAACGGTTTGGGTTGGAAGGGACCTTGAAGATCATCTGGTTCCAGCCCCCCTGCCATGAGCAGGGACATCTACCACCAGCCCAGGGTGCTCAGAGCTCCATCCAACCTGGCCTTGAACCCTGCCAGGGAGGGGCCAGCCACAGCTTCTCTGGGCAGCCTGGGCCAGTGTTTCACCACCTTCCTAGGGAAGAATTTCTTCCCAATATCTCATCTAAATCTGCCCTCTTTTAGCTTAGAGCCGTTCCCCCTTGTCCTATCACTACACCCTTTGTGAAAAGCCCCTCTCCATCCTTCCTGTAGCCCCTCCAGGCACGGGCAGCTGCTCTAAGGTCCCCTCTCAGCCTTCTCCTCTCCAGGCTGAC